ATGCCGACGCGCCCGGGGGCCGGTGAGTCAGAGCGGCTGTGTCAGCGGGGCCCGAGCTGTGCCGTGCACTGCCGCCCCATCTAATCTAATCGTACAGTAGATAACGATGCGTCCATATCAGGCAGGTAGTACAGAGGTCGCGGGTTCAAGCCCGCGAAAAGGAAAAATTAAAAAACGGCTAGGCGCCGTACCAAGTCGTGACATTACCCCCCCCTCAACGGCGCATGACCTCATGCGAGGCACCCTTGCCCATCTCCCATCCGGAGCGGCAACGTGCTTCAGTCAGCGGCGAAGGCATCGGCTGAAAGTTGAGACCACCAAAGACAGCGGCATTGAGGCGGCGAGGGGCGTTTGGATTCTTCCGGTGGAAGTCAGCTATGAGGGCCGGCGCATTGGCAACATTGCATGCCGGTTCCCATGACGTATGCGAGTCGTCATAACCCTTCCACTTGACGAGGTACTGCAGCTGACGCCGGAAGATCCTCGAATCTTTGATCCGCTCAACCTCGTACTCCTCGTCGCCCTCAACCTCAATCGCAGGCGGCTCCTCCGGCTCCCGGCCTGGGATATCGCTACGCGTGTACTTGCTAAGCAAGGAGACATGGAATACCGGGTGCACCGGCACCGATTTCGGCAGGACTAATTCATAATCCAAGTCTCCGAGCTTTCGCCGCACGGCATATGGTCCGAGGCGCTTGGGACTGAGCTTCTTGCTCGGCTGTTTCAGCTTAAGGTTCCGAGCGTCAAGCCAGACCTTGTCCCCCGGCGCAAAGACCGGTGCCTCCTGCACGTGCTTGTCGTAGTATACTTTCATACGCTCGGCTGACAGCTCGAGCGCAGAGCGCGTGTCGTCGCGAATCTCCTTCAGGATCTTGAGCCGATCAGCGGCCGCAGGCATCGCAGACATCGGATTGATCCGCACTTGGATCTCAGGATTGTACCCTTGATGCAGGTAGAAAGGGGAGTGCCCGGTCGCGGAGTGAACTCGGTTGTTCAATGCGAACTCCGCGAGCGGCAACTGCTTCGCCCAATCATCCTGCCTGTGGCTTGTGAAAGCGCGCAGGTACTGCTCGATCTCCTGATTCCAGCGCTCAGTCTGGCCGTCTGTCTGAGGATGAAACGCCGTAGACAGCGCCGGCTCGATCCCAAGTCCTTTGTACACCGCATGGAGATATTTTGAAGCGAACTGGGGACCTCGGTCTGATATGACCTTGGCCGGGGCCCCATGATGCTTGAACACATCGCGGATGTACAGGTCTGCCGCACCTTCTGCCGTCAGGGTCTCATGACAGGCGGAGAAGTGGACCTGCTTGGTAAAGCGGTCGGCGGTAACCAGGATCGAGTCGAATCCATCAGACTTTGGCAAGCCGACGATCATATCGGTCGTGATAATCTGCCACGGGCGCTCGGGGATCTCGTTCGGCTTCAGCGGACCCTGGGGCTTGGCTGGGAATGTCTTGGTACGGTTGCACACGTCACAGGTGCTTACGTACTCATTGACGAATTTGGACATCCCAGGCCACCAGTAATTCCGCGACACGAGCTCCAGGGTTTTGGCATGACCACCATGACCGGCGATCGGTGAGTCGTGGTGGATCTTGACAATATCCCGCCGGAGCTCCGCGTTCTTTGGGACGTACACGCACCCACGGAACAACAGAAGCCCTTGTTCGGCATTCCACTCCTCAAAACCCCTTTGCAGCCGGGGCGGCCCGAGGTCCTGTACTTTTTCAAGTGCCTCGGCTACCTCCCGATCCTTCTCCGAACATTCCCTGATGCGCTTCAGAAGCGACTGATTGGCCGTCACCGAGGCATGACTGCGCCGGGCGGAGGCGATGCGGAAGCGCTCTGGCTTGAGGACCACCTGATCGGTGTTATCGTCCTCATCGCCAATCTGATGGTCTGATCGACGCGACAGAGCATCAGCCTTTCCATTGGACGTCCCGGCCTTATGCGTGATGCGGAAGTCGAAGCGAGCTAGGAACAGCGACCACCGTGCTTGACGACGCGTGAGATGCTGGGACATGCACCAGTATTCGAGGTTCTTATGATCGGTTACGATCTCGAACTGATTGGGCAACCCCTCGAGATAGTGGCGCCAATCGTCTAGCGCCTCGATGATCGCGAGCATCTCCTTGTCGTAGATCTCATAGTTACGCTGAGCTGGGTCCATAGCGTGAGATCGGTAGGCGATGGGGTGCCATTTGCCGTCGTCCTGCTTCTGCATCAACACACCGCCCGTGGCGTAACCCGAAGCGTCGACCTCAATGCGCGTTTCCCGATTAGGGTCGTACAGCGCCAAGACTGGAGTCGTCGCAAAGAGCCGCTTGAGTTCATCGAAGGCGTGCTGCTCTTCTTTGCCCCAATGCCATGGGTCGTTCCCTGTGAGCCGGTCGAGTGGTCGCGAGATCTTAGCGAAGTCCTTAATGAAGCGGCGGTAGAAGTTGGAGAACCCCCGGAACTTCTGAACGTCTTTCTTGTTCCGGGGTACCGGCCACTCATTGATTCCTTTCAGCTTTGCGGGATCCATCGCTACCTCATCGCCACCGAACACATAGCCGACGTAGTCGACCTTGGGAACGTCCCATTCGCACTTTTTAGGCTTCAGGAATAGATCGTTGTCCTGAAGGCGGCGAAGAACCTCGCGTGTGACCCTTTCATGCTCCTCCTTATTGGTAGAGAAGATGAGTATGTCGTCCAGGTACACAAGGATCTTCCCGCTGACGATGAGATCATGGAATATCTCGTTCATCATGGCCTGGAAAGTTGCGGGGGAATTAGTGAGGCCGAAGAACATCACCAGGGGTTCGTACAGCCCCCGGTTAGTTACAAAAGCCGCCTTCCACTCGTCACCGGCTTTGATCCGGACGTTGTTGTATCCCCATCGGACGTCGAACTTTGTGAAGAGCGTGGCACCGCGGAGCTTGTCCACCATTTCAGCGATCAGCGGCAAGGGGTAGCGATTCTTGACGGTGATCGCATTCAGCCGGCGGTAGTCCTGTACGGGTCGAAGTGTCCCTTCCTTCTTTTTGATGAAGAAGAAGGGAGATGAGATAGGCGACTTCGATTCTCGTATGTAACCCTTCGCCAGCTGCTCCTTTAAGAACTTATCGAGCTCCTCCTGCTCGTTGTTCGATAATGGGTACACCTTTGAATGGAACGTTGAGTAGCCGGGCACGAGTTCGATCGCATGGTCGTATGGCTTCCTTTCGGGTAACCGCTCTGATGCTTCTTTTGAGAAGACCTTCAGAAACTCGTGGTACTGTTTGGGTACTGACTCCTCGGCAGTTTGGACGACCTTCTTCTTGATCTCTTCCTCAGCGAACAGCTGGGAATACGTGTGCCCTGCTGCGACAAACAACTGAGGGGCGCCGGGAAGTGTGACACCCTGCTCCCAGGCTTCGATCAAGTCAGCCTCATTCCACTCTACTTCCGTCGGATCTTCCTCGGGTTCGAAGTCCGGGAGTACCTTACTCCGGCAAGTACCTATGACCAACCGTCTGGGCTTCTGCGAGCGCCTGCGCGCCGTGGGCCTGACCCCCGTATCACGCGCAGTCGCTGCTTGCTCCATTTGGCCAGTCCTCCT